AATATGTGATTATATTAGTACCGCCAAATTATCGTCACGTGATCGGTACGTGCCCGTAAGCAGAAATATCACGTGACCGGTACGTGTCCGTAGACTTTCCGGGACAATAATTCGGCATTGGCTTTGGCATCACGTGACTGGGTAGTTGCCCTATCAGAAATACAAGAAACAAGTGTTTATACCTGTTTTGGAGTACTAATAAAATGTTGAAAAGACAATTTTACTTACACTTACTCTAAATAATCAAAAACATATGAACGCACCGAGCTTTAGTCATTCTCCAAAATAGAAAATTTCAAAAATAGGCCAACACAATGTTAAGAAATGTTTTTTACTTAATTTTAATTATTGATTGTCACTCAACCAATAAAAATCAAAAAATGACTTGTTGACCCATTATAAAAAAATTTTGGGGTACTAAATTTTCTTTTGCATTAGTTCCGCATATTGGCCCATATGATCCCGACTTTTACTTGTACGTATAGAAGCACAGGATCAATTTCCCGTTCACGTGATTTTTCAATGTCGAACAAAAAGCCACATTTATGTTACAGTTCATATGTATTTTAGAGTTAGAATAGGTTAACTAATAGTAAAATTGCACGAGGAATTTTTTTTATTAGAACTCCAAAGAAGGTTTACTAATAAAAGGTTTGAGATAAACGTGATTTTGCAAAGCGAACGTTTGGTTTGAAATATTTTTACGTTACACCAGATCTTGGTTTATTATTGGACAATTGATCTCGGAAAATCACGTGAACTGGAAATCGATCACGCTGTTGTACGTAGTAAAAATTCCTTCGAAATTTGGTGCATATCGATATATTATACTAAAAAACAACTGAAATATATAAATAAAGTGCGCAATTATGTCTCTTCAATGTTTTAATTGATTAGAGACAAGTTTTTTATCTTCACAAAAGCTTATTAATACACTTTATAATAAATGCATCAATCATGTGGATTGCGTGATATAAGATTTGGGTAGTGATTTAATCTTGATTGATAATTCGTAACCTATTAATCGAATTTGGTTAACAAAGATAAAACTGGTTCCAAGTTCTTTTCATCCACACTAAAATTTACAAGTATAATAGGTCATAAAAATTTTATAGCTATGAACAATAACATTTATAAGTTATTAATGCCGGAGCGCATGTTACACGTTACCGTTTTATTCTTTTTTGGGAGTAAAGTGACGAATCGACAGTACAAATGTATATAAAAATAATAATTTTTTTTTGAAAAATTAGACGATAAAAAGTATTTGATAGCGACATTAAAACCAATGAATATATAGACATGTCCCAAAATATCCCTTTTTTTTTTTATCTGTATATATTTGAACTTGTTTTAAATGTTTCCGTTCTTTAAAATCTTTAGGTTTATAAACGAAAATTTTAATTGTATACAATTGTATTATTGTAATATTTCTTTTTACTTTTGTTTAACCAAGCAAGAATTCAGGCTGATACATTATCATTTTCGAAATTTAGGCTATAATAAAATAAAATTATGAACATCAATAAAATAAATACAATAATATACAAAGATTCTATACATACATTTAGGTGCCTCCTTACAGGAGATAACAGCTTCCTCTCCCATCGCACTAATAACAGTCACATAAAGCTCCTTGCCTAAGTCATACCGGAAATACGTATTTAAAGAACTAAATAATAGTAACAATAATAAAATTGTAACAAATCAAATAGTTGTCCATACCTTCATCAAAATCAGCTTGGAGCTTTTCACCCAATTCACCTTCAGGAACACGAACATCATCCTTGGTGGAGCCGTCACTTAACATCAAGCTCAAGAAATTGTCATCAATATTTATAACTTGGTATTCAGTGCCTAAATACAGTATGCAAAATGCATAATTAAAATTGTTTCGGTATAAACCACGAATTCAATAACAATAGAAATTCTTACGATTAACATTTGGGACATCCATGTTATGAGTAGAAGGAGAAATATCTACCATGAAATCAACGTTAAAACAGATTACATGTAATAGACCAAATTTGAAGATCTATATTGCATCAACTCATTCACGCCTACCTTCGCATTTCTTTCCAGTGAAAATATCGATACCAACAAGGTGAACTTTCTGTATTAGCCAAACAAAGGAACCATCAAATCAACGTTATTATCTTCATTTCATGCTTTTAAATACATCAAAGAATACTTGCAGCGTGTCCATGTTTGCCGGTCTTGCTAGTGGTCATTTCAACGATCTTACATGGTCTACCCTTGAGTAGAACATAACCATTCTAGAAGCAAAAACTCTAGTCAATAAACAGGACTAATAAGTTTTCTTTATTCTATTACATCGATACCTTTCTAAGAGCTGAGCATTGAAGAGGGTAGGTGGCTGAAGCACCGGATCCAGATTCCTGGAACTCGTGATGATGTTCTTCGTCTCCCATTATATATATTTTTTTTTCGTGAACAAGAAAAAAATAAGATAATAAATAACGTTAAAAAGGAGAAACGGGGCTACTGAAAGATGGCGATAGAGAAAGAATTATCCTAACTAGCAAGAAAAATAACTTATATACCCGTATACGTAATGATCTCGGGGTTTGATACTAAGATCAGGGTCTTTGTTGTAAACTTTGGGGCATTAAAAATATATATATATATATATATATCAAATTTGGTATTGATTATATGCAAAATAGCTTAAGATCAGCAAATTTTAAAGAAAAAGAACATGGTAATGCATGTAATTTTTTATTCAATAAAATATAATTACCTTCTATATAATCACACCCTCTTTATAAACATCTTTTTTTGAAGTACTATTAAAATTTTATAATTACATCTTTTTTGTATAAAACGAACAGTGTGATTATAGAGAAGAATGACTGTATATAGTGTTAAAATTTATTATCTTTGATATTTTTGAGCAATTTGTAAGCTATTTTAAGCAATCATACTGATAATATTTAGCATTATAAATTTTTTAATTTGTTGTTAAATGTTAAGATCATATGTACAAACCTAATTAATTGGCTCTCATAAACAGTTAGGATTTTTAAATAAGAAATTTTCTAATTGTATATAAGATATTATTAATTTTTTTTTTGTAATAATAGTTTAAAAGTTAACAATTACATAAAGTTGCTATATACAAAAAGTAATTTTTTATATATATAAATGTTATGGTTAAGATTAATACTTGTAGTTAGAGCTAACTACTAAACTATTAACTATATAGTTATTATTCTAAGTACAAATAAAAAAAAATTACATTTAAAAATAAAAGTTCAAATATATTTATCTGTAATCTAAATCTACTAGAATAGTTAAAATTTACTTAAATTTGTAAGTTTAGAATATATATATAATTATAAGAAATATTGTATTTAATTTAAAAAATAGTTCATATATTAATTTTACAAATAGCATAATTAATAGATAAGCAAATATTAGAGTAAAAATGTAATTAATCAAATAGTTTAAAAAATAAGTATAATTTTTATATTTAAAGTTTTTTTTGTTGCTTTAACTTGATTAAGTTAAAGGTTTAAGATAATATAGTTTAAGCTTTTATTATATTCAATTAGCAAAGTTCATTTTAGTTTTTTTTTTTGTATTATTACAAAGTTGCATTCTTCTTAATACAATACAACCAAGTAACAAGATTATCTGGTATAGTGATTAATTATTGCAAATATATATGAAGTAAAGGTATAGTAGTTTATTTTATTATATAGCAGCAGACAAATAGTTCAAAATAATAACAGTATATAGATTAACTTTATTAAACAAATACATAATGACAATTTTGTTTATAGGAATTACCTTAGAAAGAAAATATTACTTTTATAAGTAAATAATAAAAGTAGAAAAGTCTAAGTCAAAGTATAGAAATTTAGAATTAGCAAAAAAAAAAAAAGTACCTTTTATATATCTTTTTATTTAGCAGAAATAGTAAAGATTTAAGCAAAATTACTTAATACTGTATTTGAAATAATAGGTGTTCAAACAATATTAGATATCATTATATTTAAAATAGCAAAGATTTAAAAAACATTAGATATCATTGTATTTAGAATAGTAGAAGTTTGAACAATATTAAATAATACTGTATTTGGGATAGTAAAGATTGTATAGAGGCAACTGAAAGTATTCTTTATATTATTTGTCATTTATTTTTAAAATATTTAAACCTTATGTTTAGATACTTAGATCTGTGCAAAGGTACTTGAAATTTGTGTAGAGCTACTTGAAGTTTTGCAGAAATACTTGGAATTCTTATGCTATAGCACTTGACACAGTAATTTGGTACTAGAATATATAAAACTTGTAGATAAAGAAAAAAAGAAAAAGAAAGAAAAAAGAAACCAATTTACAACAAGATTAATAGAAATACCAAAGAGAATTTCTAAACTAATTCTACTATGAGAACTCAAAATTAGAAAGGCAATAGCAGTATATATTCCATTAAACAGATGGAGATGACCAAGAAATTATGCAGTAATATTATTCAAAAATTAGAAAAATATAAATATAACTACCAAAAAAAAGGTCTGATACAATGAAGTTTTGATGTTCTGAGAAGTTAAACCAAAAAGATTAGACAAAAAACTCTATATAAGCAGCAGCAAGACACAAAAGATACAAAAGAAAGAAGAAATAGAAGACTTTGATTCAAGAAAAGAGTATACAGATCTAGAAGAATATATAAAGAAGAATAAATATAATATAAGACTGAATAATAGAAGAAATAAACAAGAAAATAGAAGCTACCAAAACAAAAAGAAAATTCAAAAAATATAAATTAAGAAGAAAAAGGCAAAAAAATGAAAGTGAAAATAAAAAAAAAACACAAGAACAAATATCAGATATGAAAAACATATTAAGTCAAATATTAGAAAGACTAAAAAGACTAGAGATAGCTAAAGAAAGGGCATAGAAGACCCAACCAGATCACTTCTAAAGGTGTCATAGTTGAATTAACAAGAACAGATAAGGAACTTGAAAATTTTTTGTAAAAAAAAAAAGAAGTTTTTGAAAAAAGAATATTATTGTCTCATCTAAAAGAAAAAAAATGCAAAAAAAAAGAAAAAGTAGTTAATACAGAAGTATCACAAAACCAATTAAAAAAAAAGTAGAAAGAAGAAATAAAAATTGCATGTTCCAATATTAATAAATTAAAAACCAAAGGTTGTAAACTTGAAAACCTGCTTGGCTGAGCAAAAAAAGAGAAAATCACAATACTAAGAATTAACAAAATGAATCTTGCAGAAAGAAAAAGAAAATTTTTAGTATACAAAACAACAAAAAGATATATTAATTATTGGAGTAGTGTAGCAGAAGACAAGAAAAAGAGATTAGGTATAGGAGTGTTAATAGAAAAACAATAAGCAAAACATGTAGACACAGTCAAGAAGATAAATAAGTATATAATAGAAATTATATTATATTTTAAGCAAATGAAATTAATAGTAATAGGAATCTATATACTACCAAATAACAAAGAAGTAGAAAGAAACATTTAACAAAAAATAGTAGAAATTATTACAAAAAAAAATAGATGAACACAAATAGTGATTATAGAAGACTTTAATTATATAGTAAACAATGTTCTAGATAGGCAGAACTTACAAGCTACAAGCTACAAAAGATTACCATTATTTAATTGGATAATAAGACAAGAATTTTATAATACATACAGAAAAATGCATTTAACTGAACAAAGATACATATAGTCAAACTCAGAAATAGCAACAAGAATTGACTATATATGGATATTAGAAGGACTAGCTTCAGGTTTACAAAGAGCAGAGATTGAAGACATAGAAGAAATCACTGAAAGTAACTACAAGGTAATAATAACAAAAATATAAATAAAACATATGATCACAAAAAGTAGCAAGGCAGAAGTCAAAAGAAAGAACCAGTTAAGAACAATATACTTTTATGACAAGACAAAAGAGAAAGAATAGAAAAGTTATACACAAAAGTTACAGAAATGATTAGAGATAAAAGAAACTTTAAGAAACATATAAAGAGAAAAATAAAAAGAGAAAGAGAAAATACAAAAAATTAACAAAATATAAAATATAATAGAGAAGGCAATTATAATAGCAGCAAATAAACATATATTGAAGAAAAGATTTACAATACAAAAATAAACAGAAGATATAGTCAAAAAGATCAATAGTAAAAAAAATCATTATAGAGCTTTAAAGACTAGTCAAATATATAAAAACAAAAAGAGAACAGAAACTGGCTAAAGCAAATAAAAGTGAAATGAATAGAAACCTCAAGATGCTTAGCAAGAAAATTGGTATAAAATTACCAAAATCCAAAGACAATGGTCTGATACTTGGATAGAAGATATAAAAGGCTGGCAGAAAATCTTGCAAGAGAAAAAGAAGAAAGAATAGAAACAAAAACAAAGAAAACAAATAGAAAATAACATAAACAAAAGATGTAAAATAATCAAAACTGATCAAGAAAAAATAATAGCTAGCCTTTTAAACAAACTATACAAGAAAGTAATACTTGATAGAGTAATCGAATGAACAGAAGAAGAAACTAGACTAGTGATAAAAGCAGAACTAGTTAAAGAAGCAATAATAGAACACTACAAAAAGCAGTTTAGAAAAAGAAATACAAAACTAGAAAAGATGTTAGAAAGCTGAAAAAAATCTATAAACCACAAGACTATATTAAAGAAGAATAATATAAAGAAATCAAAAAGAAAATTGAAAAAGGGATAATCAAAGAACTCAAGACAGAAAAAGTTTCAGAAATATTAGAAATAAGTTATACTTTAATCAAACAAGCAGAAAGAAAAACTTAAAAGGTTTTTAGAGCCTACACAAACTTGTACTTAGAAATAGGAGAGATACTAATGAAATAGAAAATAGCACAAATATACTCAAGATCAAAAGACATAAAATGGTGATATAGTTTGAACAATATTCATTCAATAGCTTTAATTGAAACATTTAGGAAGTTGTAACAAAGTTAATAATGAAAAAATTAGCAAAATATTTATGAAAAGAGAAATACTTAAAGAACCAAACTATGCAGGCCTACTAGAAAACTTGACAGAACAACCAGTACATGTTCTAAACATGATAATAGAAAAGGCAAAAAAAAAAGAATAAAAAGGTGTAGATACTTATACAAGATATAAAAAAGGCATTTGACTTAGTTTTACTCAAAAGTCTTGAACTAGCTTTACAAAGAGTCAAAATATCCAAAATAATAATTAAATACATCCTAAACCTTTTTCATAAAAGACAACTTAAAATAATTACAACATATGATCTAACAGAAAAAATAACAACAAAAGATGAAATAGATCAAGGTAAAATAATATTATTACTAATATGACATCTTTTCTATGACCTATTATTAGAAAAGATACAGAAGGATAAAATGTTAGACTATACTGTAAAACAAG